GTTACGTGTGTAGTCGACGTGGGCCATGGGCGCTTCCGGACATCCGCCAGCCTGCTCGGGGACGGTTTCGCGTGTGCCAGCCGGGAGAAGACGATCGACGGGCAGGATGCGGCGGTTCAGAGATCGGGGCAGCGTAGGACCCGAGTTCGACGGAACTCGGGCGTGCCGACGTTCTTTGCCGGGCCCGTCTTGAGTTCTGACGGTCCAGATTTCGTGGGATGTGTTGCAGCGGGCGCTCGCGTCAAAATTGCAGATTGGGTCTCGTCGTGGTCTTGACGGCTCTGGCAGGCCAGCCCGAGTCCCCCACACCCGATCCTCACGTCTCCCCGAAGACATGGGGCCTTGAGGGATGAGCCAGCCGGACGATTGACTTCAAACAAGTGAAGATTCAGCCTGGGATCCATTTCCTATCCTCAGAGCCACATCCCTCAGGACCCTCTCCTTGAACCGCCGAAGGAGGGAGTGCGGCAGTTTCTGAGACGACTGACAGGCAGAGGGTTCGGGGGTGATAGCCACTGCGATGATCTGTCTAGGCATTGTGCCCATTTGGCAACAGCGTTGCAGAATCGTTCTGGGCATCAGCCAGTCGTGCCCATGTTAGATGTGCCCACCTTCAAAAGTATCGAGGAATTGATGGCGGCCTTGCCTGGAGGATCCATTCGCTGGTGGGAAACAGATCAACGCAGGCAACCAATTTACGCAGGCTGCCAGATTTGCCAGATGTTATCGTCATAATCATCCCCCTCACTCCGCTCGCCTCCCTCCTCTGAGTAACCGTCAGCATCCCCCAGGCCCCTCGTTCACTCACCCCTTCTCCTCCTCCTCCTCCTCCTCCTCCTCCTCCTCCATTCCTTTTCCTGATAGCTCCGCACTGTCGCACCCCGAGGCCGGCCGAAAGGGTGGGTCGCTTCCAAAATGTGGTTCTCGCCTTAGCGCCGCGCACATTCGTTATAACCATGTGCCCGAGTTTCACGGATTTGGGGCGGGTAGTTTTCGAAATGTGGTTCTCGCGTAAGCGCCGCGCACACTCGTTTTGAACACTTGCAAGGGTTTCACGGATTGGGGGCGGGCCGGTTTCAAAATGTGGTTCTTGCCTTACCGCCGCGCACATTCGTTTTAGATGTTTGCAAGGGTTTCGCAGATTGAGGGCGGGCTTTCAAGATGTGGCTCCTGCCTTGGCGCCGCGCATATGAGTTTAAAGAAATTGCAAGAAGATGAGCCTGAACAGCGACCCCGCCACCAACAGCATCGGGCCCATGCGGACTGGATGCAGCACCTGCTTCGAGATCGTTGCCGCCCACATCTGCGATGCACAGTGCTGCTGCCGACGACCACTCGTCCAGGGAGTCAGCGGCGGCTAAGGCATCTTCTGCTGCTTGAGCCCGCTCGTCCAGATCGCTATCATCAAGTGCGGCGTCAGCCTCCAAACCAGCAGCTGACCGCTCATCCACGTGGGGCCCGCACGTACAGAAGAAGCCGCGCGCGTTGCGCAGCGGGCGCCATGCGAACCGCTTCAGCCAAAATGGACGCAGAGGAGCGGGGTGAGGCGGCGGAAAGGTTGAGAAGGAGGGGAAGTCTATACAGCCGCCGGCCCACAAGCATTGGAAGCTACTGGGGTGGTCCTTTCGGCCCCCCTCTTCTTTCTCCTTAATTTGTTGCATGCCCCATCCGTTACTGCGTGTCGCCCTGCACCCCTGGTCCCCGGCGTCCGTTAGTCCCCCAGTTCATTGACAGCGCACGGGGGTTGAAAGCTTTCTTGGGCCCTAAATTGCGGGGGGGGGGCGGGCAGGCGATAGCTCTTCCAACCCCAATGATTGTTGGCGATGCATACGGTTGGTTCTCCCTACGCGGAATACAAAACAACGGAAGTTTCGGTGCGAGCAATGGCGTGGAAGCGCGTTGTGCGCAATTGGATTCAGGGTGCGCGCGTTTGCCAAGTCCGTCTTGCGCAGAGCAGGCGCGCATCAAAAGAGTGCCCTAGACGCTCGCCCAGATGGTCGCCGGCGAAAGACAAGCGTGCAAGTGCATGCCCGAAGCCGACGCTATCTGCCATCACCATTGGTATCAGGTGGACCCACACCCTGCGAACGATCAACCACATGATCGCCAGGCGCTGCCCCTAAGCCGCGAGGCTGAATTCAGCATTGCAAGCACTGCCTGTTGAATGCTTGTGTCGTTGCATATACGTTTGAGCGACGTCGTCGTGAAGCTGGCGCAATGGTTTTCAGTGGCACTGTTCACTTTGTGAACAGATTGCTTTCGCGTGGGACCGACGGGCACGTCGCGCGCGTTGAAATTGTTTTGGCCTGGTGGGACACATAGTGGTGCCGATCGTCATAATCATCTCACGGCGCGAAAATACTATTTGGGATACCTTTTTGTTGAAGACTCCGGTGAGCGACCGTTTATTCGACCATCTGTGCGACTGCGACCAACCATCTGGGCGAACATTTGTGCGACCAGTTTTGGGGGGCGACCATCTTGGCGACCATCCATGTAAGCATCCATGTAACAATTTTGGCCTTGGCGAAGTTCCCAGCCGATTTCGTTGGGCGGCCGGGTTCCCGGGTCCCGGTTCCCCCGTTCTGGTTGCTAGTCCCGGGCCGATCTCGGTGGGCGGCAGGGTTCCCGGGGTCAAGTTTCTTGTTCCTGGGTTCCCGGGTTCCCGGTCGATCTCACGATCGATTTCATTATCGATCTTACCATTCATCTCATTCAATCGATCTCATCATCGATTGTTCTACCGATCTCACTCTCGGTCTCCCTATCGATCTCACTATCAATATCACTATCGATCACACTATTGATATCACGATCGATCTCATGATCGCGCTCACTATCGGTCTAAAGATCGATGCCATCATCGATGACACTATCAATGTCACTCAATCGATCTCTCTATCGATCTCACTATCGATACCCCAATCGATCGCACTGTCGATCTCACTATCGATCTCACTATCGATCTGATTCAATCGATATGACTATCGATCTCACTATCGCACACACGATCGATCTCACGAACGATTTCATGATCGATCTCATTCAATCGATATCACGATCCTTCTCACTATCGTTATCACTTTCGATCTTTGTTTCGATCCGACTATCGATCTCACTACCGATCTCAATCAGTCGACCTCACTACCGATCTCACTATCGGTTTCACTATCGATCTCACGTTCGATCTCATTTTCGACCTCGTTCAGTGGATCTCACTATCGATCTCACTATCAATCTCATTACACTCAAATCTTTTGTTAAGAAACTCCCTCCCCCGAGCTGGGTCTCAGAATTTCTTAAACAAAAATAACGAATTCGCAAAAGCTGGAACCAGTTTCTTAACCTTGACGGGCGAAGGAAAGAATGGAGACAATCCTCAGCACCCCCCCCCCCAGCACAACCCCCAAGCACACCTCCCCTGCACAACCCCCGAGCACAACCCCCTGGCACCGTTTTTTGAGTTTAGCGTTTTATTTTCGCGCGGGCCGGCGCCGCTCGTTTTGTGTGGCGTTTTGTTTTCGCACCACCCCTCCCTGCAGAACCCTCCCCAATACAACCCTCCGCACCACCCTCTCCAGCACAATCCTCCCCTGCACAACCCTCCCCAGCACAACCCTCCAGCACGACCTTCCAGCACAACCCCCCAGCATAACGCCCTCGTGTTGGGTATTCGCGCTGGTGGTCATGCTGTGTGGTCGAGCAGGTGGTCCTGCGGGTGGTTGTGCGGTGGTCCTGCTGGTCGTTGGTCGTGCTGGCAGTCGTGCTGGTGGTTGGTAGCGCTGGGGGTCGTGCTGGTGATCATGCTTGTGGTCGTGCGGCTGGTCCTGCGGCTGGTCATGCTGGGGGTTATGCCAGTAGTCGTGCTGGTGGTCGTCTGGTGGTTGTGCTTGTGGTCGTGCAGGTGGTCGTCCATGTGGTCGTGCGGCCGCTCGTCCTGGGAGTTGTGCCAGTGGTCGTGCTGGTGGTGGTGCTGGTGATCGTATTGGTGGCTGGTCGTGCTGGTGGTCGTGCTCGGGGGATGGTCGTGCTGGGTGGTCGCGCTGGTTGTCATGCTGGTGGCCTTGCCGGGTGGTCGTGCTGGATGGTCGTGCAGGTTGGCCGTGCCGGTGGTCGCAGTGCAACACCAGATTCGTTAAGAAATTCTGGGGCCAAAGCTGGGTCTCGCACGGGAGTTAAGACATCCATCGAAGCTGGGTCTCAATTTCTTAACATAAGATTTCTTAACACAAGTTTTGAGTGTATGGCTAGCATAACAACGCATGGCAGGTAACATAGCACGGGCCACCCCCGCGCCACGGGACACCACGGGACATTATCGGGACACCATCGGGACACCACAGGGACACTGCTGGCCAACCCTGGGGACAGCAAGGTTTGTCTCGGCTTCGCCCTGCCAACGGCGGGTTCATGCCGCTCGCCCGCCCACGCAGCTTCTCCTCGCCCGCACGCGCGACACGAACGTGAATCCGAAACCGGTTTCCCGGTGGGAGCGTCTCAGTTTCATTGCGATCTCACCCCGCAATTTCCACACACACATATATATATGTGTATACAAGACTGCATTGGCGCTGCGCGCCATGCACCTTGGTCTTTCGAGTTCTGCACGCAAGCGGAATGCGTGCGTGCGAACATGCGCGCATGCATGTATACACGCGCGCGTGCATGCACGTTCCGTATAAATGTCTAGGTGTATACAATATATTTTCATTGTTGTATGTGTATGCAGCGTACATATGTACATCTAAATTTCTGTGTGTAAGGGTATGAACATGCATACGCAACTCGTACGGGGCATCCCCGGGCATCTTCGCATGCCACGAGACCCTCAACGACTGGGTCACACTTTGAAATGTCATGGGAGCAAAATCAATGAATGTTGGCATTCGGAAACATCGTGAGGGTGTTTTCGGGGCCCTCGTGGGCCGTTTTGGCGCCTTCATGGGCCGTCCTGGGGCCTTCTTGGGCCGTCTTGGGGAGCTTGGGCCCGCTGGAGCCCCCTTTGGACCCATCTTGGGCACTTCCGGGGACCTCCCATGGCCCTTTTGGTTCTGTGCTGGGAGCCCCTGGGGGGCCTCTTGGTTCCATTATGGGCTGTCTTGGGG